ACGAGTTTTGCCGTGGATTACAATTTCGGTTTTGAGAAAACTGGCGCAATCGTTTGCGTTTTCGGTTTTCAGTTGGAATAAGGCGAACTATATTTACTGGGGTGGGGGGTGGAAACATCACTTAACTTATTTCCCGGGATTTATTAGCATAAACGGCTTCAAGACACTTGTATGAATACCTTTATAAGCAACATTTTCATCATGTTTAAAATAGTAACAAATAAGATAGAAACAAAGTGCTCGTTATGATAATGTTTTGTTTATCTGATTGTGGTAAAGCACTCGAGGGCTATTTGTCTAAGGGTCTAAGGGGAGGGATACCTTCGTGAAAGACTTTCTAAGGGAAACCTACTCGTATCTATACAACACATGAGGCAAACCATGAGGCCGCTGATAGGTTCTGTTGTCACAGTTAAAAACAGGAACAATATGCAAATGGATAATTTATCTGGTTTTTTTCGTCCAAAATACTTATAATTACACACGTACTTATTCCCCCATTAAGCAGTGCAATCAAACATGCTGGTATGTTGCAAGGTTTTTCTTGAATTTTAAAACGAGCAGTCCCGGTTTGGGGATTGGATTGGACTATTTATACTATTACGAGCACACAAGAGCTTTGCCTAAGGCAAGGAACGCTTTCAATGAGATATTTTGAAAGAATTAATTAAACTGACTTGTATTAAAGTTACAGGTGGAGGAAATCATAAAATTTCCCACGCAGCCAGTCCGTTCGTCGGCATATGGACAACGGCCAACAATAGGAGCTATTGTACGAAACCGGGTCTAACTGCCAGTGTTCAGAGATTTTACAGCTTCGCCGTTGGTGAGTCAGTTTCTGTTTTGGATTCATCAAATTATAAAAAAGCCCATTAGAGCTACCTGCCTGAAGGAAAGATGCCTTTATGGAGGACTTCTTAAAAGAATATTGTTTGTATTGAAAATATGTACCACGGAAACTCTCATGTAACCAGCCAGTTTGCTTAGAAATGAATCGGAGGGGATTAGGATTATTTGGATTTTGGCAAAGCATACGAAGATAATCTGTCTATGGGGATGAATGCTTTCATGGAGGTATTTTCAACAGAAACTGCCTTGTATTCACGTTAGAAATGGGTAAGACTATGGAAACTTCCATGCAGAGATGCATGTTCGCTGGAATTTCAAAGGCCGAGCTAGCTGGTCGCTGGTGGATTTGAATCAAATCGGGCAGCCAGTGTTTAACGGTCTCCGCTTGTTTTTTTTTTTTTAAGGTTGTGGTTAATTTTCAGAATATAAAAGATAAAGGATAAATGCTTTTCGAATGGGTTCAAGTTTGGTTTGGTTTATTTGATTAGGCAAAGCAAGCAAGGGCTATTTGCCTAATGGAAAGGATGCCTTCCTGGATGACTCTGTAATGAAAACTGGGTTATATCCACGTTACACATGCAAAAATCCCTGAAAATGCCCAAATAGCTTGGCCTCTTACTGGGATTCGAACTCAGGTCGAACTACCAATGTTCCGCGACTTTGCCGCGCGGCTGTTGGTGGGCCCCAGGATAGCTTAAAGAACGGATATTTGCTTCAATGATTATTAGTAGTTTCACGATACCTGGTTGTTTTGACTCTTCGAGGGGCAGGAAAAGGCATTTAACTTTTTCAGCACAATTCTTGTTTTATTTACTATATCAGGTGTTAGAATGAAATTATTTGCGACAATTCCACATATTTTGTCCAAGACGCGTGAAAAAAATGACCCCTTCTGGTGGTGAGTGTCAGTGACCACCGCCCACAGAACACATCCCTACAAATCAGTCTCTATGGTACTTATGGAAATAGTTTTTCTTTTTCAAGCAACTTTGTATGTGCTGCATTCCCACGCTGGTCTTACAGGCTTTTTCTTGGTGCTGCAGACAGCACATCGTCGTGATGTTGTCTTCGATAGCTGATGCTTATTTTCTTGAAGACGAACTGCTGCATCAACGACAGGCTTATGTTTCTTGATTGCCATCTAGTGAGCTACAAGGGAACTTCAGAAACGGTCAGTTTTGAAAACACTCACACGAGTGAGTAAGTTGTTCAGTAGAAAAGGTGGTTACTGTAGGTAACCACCGCCCTTTAGAGAGTTGAAGTTTGGGATGTCCAGCAGCCATCTCTTGGTAGTTAACTACTTTGGTGTAAAAACTACCTTATTAATTCCTATGGGTTGCAGTTACTGATGATACCCGCTATTCCCCTCGAAAGAGATTTGGGGAAATGTGCGATAATAATCTTATAACACGGAAATGAAACCGAATTTTTACACGACATACCTTTATGTTTGAGAAATGAAAGTTGTACATTAAAAGAGGTGCTGGAAGTGACATCCACTCACCTGTATACACAGTTTAACAGGGCACTGTTCGTGTATTTGCTGTCACAACATGGATTTCACGGCGTATGTTCTGACGCAACTCGTGGATGGTGCGTGGTTTGTGCTTTTAAACATTACCTTTAAGGTGACCCCATAGAAAAAGTCAAGGTGGGTCATAATCTTTCGGAAATCCTTACATATCTTTTATAAATTTTTTTAGCTTCTAATACGAAGACAGCGTATAAGAAAACGGCGACTTTGCTTATTGAAGCTTACAGGTATCGGTATGGTTACCTGGAGAACTGTTGTGCGCATGGGCTGCCACAGCCTGGAGACTTCTACCAGGGTAGTTGCGATAATACCAAAGTAAAAATTCTTTAATCATTACAAACAAATTTATTAGCAGAGCATAAAATGCTATGAAACACAGAGTGTTGCTAAATGTCGATGAAAATGTCAATTTCTGAGAAAACCTTGCAAGCGATTTCTTGCACGTGCTTTTTTTTTTTTTTTTTTTTAAATGAATCATTACCCCACAGTAATATATATGACTACAGAATAATTCACTCGATGTATTTAAAATATGATTTAAAGTTTAATAGGCACAAAGCTGAAAGTAAAATTTAAAAAAAAAATTGAATTCGCAAATGCAATATTTTTTTTTTATTATTTCTATTACATTTACTTATTTTCATCATATTTATTTAAATAGTGAACACGAAGCAAAAATTAAATAACTTTATTCATATGCCTGAAGTATTATGTATCCAACTCTACCTATCCACGTATTTGTCAAAACGATAATGAAAAATTTTAGTTTCGTCAAATTTATGAATACTTTTTTCCCCTTCCACCGAGAGAAAATTTCAGAGAAATAGTAAACCATGCATTTTCCTTCAAAAGAACAAAATTGTTTTTCAGTAACAAAAATAATAAATAAATAAAAAGAAATTTCTTTTGCTGCTTTATTTATACACTAAAAGAAATTTTTGCTTCATTTTCTGTTATATATCGAATTGAATCTTGTACTTCTAAATTTGCGATTCAATATCTGCTTTGACAAATACAATGTATTTCAGTAGAAATCGTACATCGATGATATATTTTAGCTTTCTTGTTAGCTTAAAATAAATTACCAAAGCTATGAATTTGCAATTTTATTTTCATTCCTTCGTCCGATTTTTAAAAAAAAATTAATTTAATTTAATTTAATTTATTTATTTATTTATTTATTTTTTTGGTGGGCCGTATTCGACATTTATGAAGAACACAGAAAATGTCTTTCAATTCCGGATTCTATTAACAATTTCAGACCAAGTCATACCAATTTAAAAACTAAATTACGATGGGTTATAATTACATACATTATAAAGCATTTACGGTGAAATGACGAAAATATCACACGAAGTTAGTAATTTTTAAATTAAGATGTTTCACCAAAATGCATCTCATGGGAAACTCTTTCTTTATTCAGGGCTTTTTTCCATGTTGCCATTTTGTCTTTAATCGCATGCTATCAATTAAAAATTAATTTGTTGTAAATAAAAATTATTTTTATTGTTTTACTTTAACTGAAACTGAAATATGTAATATGCTTAGGCAAATAAAAGTAAAATTTCCTGCTTTACGTTCGTGCACGTTTTCAGCAAAGTGTTATTTGTAATATCTTTCAAAGAAATACAAATATTTAATTATAATTTAATTGAATGACCTTATTTGAAATAAAATGTGATGAACGAAAAAAGTTTGTATCTACAGGAAAATATCTTATGTGGACATCACATAAACTTCCTTGTATGGCCTATTAAATTATACACATCGTTTGCGGCATTTCATTTAAAACTTATTTCCCCGATTTTCGCTGATGATATATTTCACATTCAATCCATTCAGTTTCTCACTTCGCGGAAAAGAAAAATACATAAAAACTCAAAACATCTTCATTAAAAATTGTAAAATACAGAAAAAATTTAAACACCAAATACAGTTAAAACAAAATTTTTACAATTAAAATTAAGAGTTTCTAGGCAAAAACAAATAATTCGGCCAGCGGGTCGTAAGATTGTATTTTACAATTCTCGGTGCACAAAACTGAAAGTTTACTTTTGGTCCCACTTGGCAAAAAGACGCTGAAGTTGATCGGCACGGAAAAAAATGAAGTGCACAACTACATGTTACAGCAAACCCATAAAAATGTCAATGTTCTACGTTACTCGTATATGAGTTATGCAGGATACATATGTACGTACGTACTGACGTCCCGAAAAAAATCTCCTTTGAAACCATTTCAAATGGATTTTACAGTCCGTTCCTTACGTATAGATGCCACACACACACACACACACAAAAAAATATTTAAATGGATTCGGCCATTTAAATTATTATTATCATATTAAATGGCCAAAAACGGATATTTTCGCTGAAATATGATACCCGAAATTTTTCATGATTGCAATACTTCCTTTATTTTGCGCAAGATAGTAAAAAAACTAATCACGTTATCCGAGTTTCACGATTATCCGGACAAGGGGTGATCCTAGAAAGTCCGGCTATTAGGAGTTCAACGTATTTCCACAGATAACGCACTTTCGGGAACCCACAAGACTATAGCACTGATACTAATTTATATCTAATTCCGTTCATAAACAAGACAGCAAAGTTTTTGTACCTTTCAAAGACATCACCTGATATTAGGCATATGGATATCCAAATATAAATCCCAAAAGAAATGTAAATTACCTGAAAGAGAAACAAAGAGATGTAAGTATCTTATGAATGCTTATACGTTTGCACATATTTAAAAATATATAATTTTAAAAAGAAACTATTATTAGAGAATACTAGAACAATATGCAAAATTATAAAACAGTATTTTATTAATTTTCATTAAACCTTATAAGAGAAAAACAACAGAAATGAAAGACTTCGCAAGCAAAATTTTTAACAAACATATTGAGAATACTGTCAATTATTTAAAATAAATACAGCAGTATCATATTTGAGCAAAGTATTACATGAATAGTATGCATAGAGTAGAAAGAGTTTTTCATTACTGCAGCGTAATGATATTCAGGCGTGTTGGTCTAAAGCAGTTGGTCTTCAAACTTTGTAGGTATGATTACGTAAGAAAGATGAAACGAATTAACTTAGAAAGACGCAGGCCAGAAAAATTATTATAAACAATTTAGAACAGAAAGCGGAGATAGCCAAATTAAAATGAGGAATTAATAGACAAATAAGCTAATTCTCTCTTATTATAACAGCAACAATGGCACGCAGTTTTTAATGATTTTCGTCTTTCTAATCAAAGGGTCGTTAAAAGCCCGAAATTCCATCCAATATTTCACCTATATTCAATTTTAGTCGATTAATGTGGTAAAAAATGAATCATAATTGATCAGAAATCAATAATGCGAACAAACACACATTCTTCTTTATATATCTAGATTTCTTAAAACTTTGAAATTTTTGATTAACAAACTCTACGATTTTGAACGCATTTCGAAATGAAGCATTTTTATTGCCAACGCGCGAGACTGTTGCCAGTCGGCAAACTCTTTCCACCCTTAGTTCTAAAACTGTTTCCTTAAAGTTCTCAATCTAAATTTGCCTGATTTTAAAAAAGTTTGTACACTAACTTCTAATTACTTGCATATCATGCATTAAATAAAAATTTTCCGCAGGTGCTTGAAAGAGATGAAAGCATTCTGACGTTTTGGAAAAGAATCACGATTTTTTTCTGACGCAATGAATTTCATTGCTACAGCAAGGAATGAAATCAAAAGCTTCAAGCTGATATCTATATAGGGGGGAGTTGGTTTGGTTTTTGTGATCATGGCAAAGCCTCGAGGGCTATCTGCCTAAGGGGCGGGATGACTTTGTGGAAGCCTTTCTAAGGAAAACCAACTCGTACAAGGTATCACATGCAGAAAACCACGAAAACACCCATGCAGCCAGCCCGTTTGCGGGATTCGAACCTCGGATCGAACTACCGGTGTTCAGCGATTTTACCGCTCGGCCGCGGGCGGGCTATCGGGGGAGGGCACTGATAGCACATAACGCAAAGAAATGAAAACTTCGCCAATGAGGAAGTACCAGCAATAGGCCTCGCTGAAGCCACAGAGATTTAAGTATATAACGGTATGGCGGAGGGGGTAAAATATCAAATTTTACGTCTCAACATTCCAGAAAGAAACTAATCTGAGCTTCGAACCCGAAACATCAGCGAGTAACTATCTTATGGATCGGAATGACATCATAAACGAAAAATCTGGGTAAAGGGGATAATAACACACTGCCCCGTTGGGCCTATTGCATGTGTTTTAGCGTTGTGATTCACCAGGATTCGAACCCCGGACCGAACTACCAGTGTTCAGCGATTTTACCGCTCGGCGGCTGGTAGGCCTGCAGTGTAGTACTACCCACGTACATATCTGCTCCGAAGAATCAACAGAAAGAGTAAAATTTCTAAAAGAATATTCTGTAATTAAGAAATACTAGTAAATAAACGTATGCAATTATAAGTTAAAAGTTCAGAATTATTTAATAAGTATCAGTAAACATACATAACTATAAATAAAACAAAATTAAATTTACCTACCAAAAAGTACATCCTAACACACACTTTGGAAACCACAGATGTAACGTTCTTACAAAAAGAGGTTGGTGATTAAATCTCAAAGAATACATCAATCGTTAAAATATACATAGGTCAATCAATCATTTAGTTAGGGGCACCCTATTTCGACGAGAATAATAATACAATACGGATAAAAATTACGAAATTCGGCGAAATGTAAATAAATAACTTGCAAACGCACGGAACAAAAATGCCAACCACATTCATTACAAAGCAAAGGGTAGCAGCCATCTTCATTAAATGTAACGCTCTCAACCGGATGACACACTAATAACTTTGCCCTAAACTATGAGGTCAATAATGGTAATGGAAGTAGTGAAGGGGAAAAATTCTGAAAAACCCTCATAAAATGTAATTATGAGACAGATTAAAAAAACTCTCCATAAAAACAACCGAAATCTGCAGAGATAATAAATTTAATGTGCATTTAGAGTCAGAAAAAGGCGTTGAACGTTGAAACCATTAATTAGAAAATTAACCATGGCGTTTTAATTTGTGTTATTAAAGACAAATTAACACCTTTTCCCGGAGCCCACGTACACCCTCGGCGAAATACAATCCAAGACTCAGTTTACGGGAGTCCGGTCATTTAATACACAAAATGGATACAAGCAGTTTTTTTTTTTTTTTTTAAATCTCCCCCACTCCCTTTATAATTATTACCACTTTTATTTATTTATTTATTTTTTTCACAGTCGTTTCAATTCATAAACGTTTACTTTACACAAACTCAACGCATTCCCTTCCCCATAGAACTTAAAACTTTTTCATCTGCGTTTAACAATCGTTTGTCACGGAGGGTTTATGACTCCTCGTACACCCCAGAGCCTCCCTCCCACCTTCATTCGTTATTCAATTAGAAAAGCCACAAATTATAATAAGTTACGACGGGAAGAAAAATACGGAAAAAAAATATTCCAGTCGAATTAAGCAAGAACAATAAATAAGTACTAAAAAATAAAATAAATAATAAAACGAGATTTTCGAAAAGATGGTTTAGAGGGGGGAAGAAAAAAAAAGGTGGAAGGAAAAATTATGAATTGAAATACCTTTTCAGACAGGGGGGTGGATAAAAGGTCCATGTAATTGAGAGAGACGGACAAGAAGCATTTTTTTTTTTTTTTAATTCTTCTCTTTCGTGGCTATCTAAAATTTATATTCAAATAGAAGGTTGGTAAGTGTTTGGGCCATATGTTTTGGCAGTTCTGTCAAGAATGTAATGCAATTAAAAGATGTTTTATTTTAGAAAGCTCATCTTCGTGTGGCTGCCTTTTTTTTTTCCCGTGGTTATTATTATTTCGCTTTCGCAAAGAGGCTCTTTTTATCTAACTAAGTGTTTTAAGGGAGGCAAGAAATTAATTTTCATTTACGCCCAACGGTCTGAAAACAAGCAGAGATACGAATAACACGATGACGGCTGAAATAAATGTACAAGGCGGTAACACGGGGAATTTGCATTAATTCGTCTTCCCTGTCATAATTTCTTTATTAGAAGCCTCCGGTTTTTTCCTTCTCCCTTCTGCGCTTCCACTTAGCACTCGCATTTTAACAAATGAAGTTTTATCGAACACGGAGAAAAACGAGGCAGCTGTTTAGGATAACCCCAGATAAAGATATTTATATTTCTGCAATAGTCACTTACTTACGCGTGGCATTTAATTTTTTAGCCCAGCCGACTTAAGCAAGAAATGGCACTAGTAGTAGAATTATTATCCCGGATTATAAAGCGGAAAGAAGCGTTGCCACAGAAGAAGAATGCAATGATGCTCTAACTACTCGTGGATTTAAGTTGGAGCATTTTTTGATCAGAATTTTAATTTTTAGTCCAAAGGGGCAATTTGCCCTGAAGGACTATTAATTTCGTTTTGGCATTTTGCGTCGATTCATTTTCCGTGTTGATTCACTTTTTAATTTGTTACCACCCAATATTATCGCCCTGTATTATATTTAAAGAAATTAAATAATGAAGAATCCGGATGAATGTATGTATGTTTCTCGCACTGTGATAAAACAACGGTACCTAGAGCCATCCAATTTTGAATAACGCAATCTTCTACCGAATATAGTCATCTGGAAGCCTTAATTAGAATTTGAACTTTGTAGTATAATCGATTTCACACTTTGTAACACTTCCAAAGAATTTTTGATTAAAAAACTTAACGATTTCAAAGCGAGCAACTGCACGAGGAAAAAAAAAAAAAAAAAGTTATCTCCAGCGCGCGAGACTGTGCATCGGAAATTCTAAAGATATGCTCATTTTAAAATTATTTTGCGATATTGTTGTTGAACTGAATTTAATGGTTTGAGTACGTAGAACACGATAGTTAATAAATAAAGGCTCGTTCTATACATGAAGGTTACTCGTTTTAAGTATGTGCCTTATCCTGAATAACTTGCGCTTGGTTTTGACTGGTTTAATTTATTCGATTATGGCAAAGCATTCGAGGCTATCTGGAGATGGATGCTTTCGTGTAGGGCTTTCTAAAGAAAACTGGCTCGTATACAAAAATGGCAAGAAACGCATGAAAACACCAATGGAGCCAACTCGTTCTCGGAATTCGAACCTCTGACCGAATTACCAGGAACTTTACCACTCGGTCGCAGGTGAACCCTTGGTTTTAACTAACATTTTTTGCAGGTATGTATAACATGATAGTTCAATTTAAATCTAATCAAAATGTGATTTTCTTCCTGTAGCTCTTCGGTGAGGTTTAACGCCAGATGATACTTTAATGAAGCTTAATATTGGGGGGGGGATCAGTATTCTATCTAAGTCGTAATTTAAAAATAAAGACTTCATTTAAACCATTTATTATTTCTATATACTTCTGACAAAAACGCAGGAATAGATCAGCTGCGAAACTAAAACGAATGATAATTTTTTCCCATTAATATTCGTATAGAATTCATTCTTTTTCATTTTTAGCGTACTTTGTTCTATCAAAGTTTCAGTTCATGCAGGTAAAAAAAAAAACCCACACGCAAACAGAATAAAAGTAGTCTTCCACACAAAACTTCTTTTCATTTCCGCGTCTTTCTGGGAAGTGAGAAATATAA